TTACACTGCCTTCATTATGACTTATCAGTTAAAGACACATTTCTGTGTCCATAGAGAAAAAGCCTCAAGAAACAAAAAGATAATTATGGTTTTGTCACTGAAAGCCACTTTTGAAGCTCATGTCATATAGTCAGTCATACATCACCTACGACCTCACGGCAGCCCTCCCCCTCTTCTACCTACTTCCCACAGCTAATTACGTCTGGCAGGTCTATCCCCCCCAGCTCTTGATCCAAGCTCCCAAAACCCTCCCCTGCTGAAGCATTTAGCTCTGTTTCGAGTGGTGGTGTACGGCTCGAAAACAGCAGAGACGGCCAGCAGGCCATCTGTTCCTGTGGGCTTAATTAAGCCTAGATCTCGACGCTCTACTCTAGCTCAGTGGCCAGAACAGCACTGGCAGGGACACTGGGAAGGGACATAGGGACCTGGGTAGAATAGTAAGAATGAATGGAGGTGCACACACCCACCTAGACATAAACAAACAAGGCAATACGAGACGTTTGGTGTTTAGATATGTGGAACATGTTTAGGGCCACTGCAAGATTAAGGAGATGGTTAAATATTTCTGCAAAATTAAAGAAGTAATCAAGTCATGTGAGGTCAAATTAGGCAGTGGCAAGCTCATATCAGAAAGCCCACTGACTGAACAGGGTGAGGTGATACTGAAAGGCCAAAAATACAAAATACTATGTAAGATAATCTAAGATATCCCAGGAACAACCTAAATACAATTGGGTAAACTTTGACCTCTCATTTTCAGAAATAAACCAACATAGTACTATCCTGTCCTACAACATATTGTACTCTATCACTCTGATGTAGAATAAATGCAGAATTTATGAGTGGAAATAGTGCTAGAATCACCTCCTTTGATAGCAGTGCTGACCTTCTGTACACAAAACAATGCATCAGTAGAAGTAATGTTTATGTTGTGTATGTTGAAAACAACGTCAGCAGTATTCATTCAAGAAGGCCATTAGATCTGGTTGAAAGACCCGGAAAAAATATGTCCTCACAGGTACTCCAGACTTCAACATACTTATTAAATAATAATATAGTTAACTGTGAAAGGGACATGTCTTAAACTACCAGACCTAATATAACCATTCTTATATAAAGACTATTAATAGCAAACCAACCCCACTACAATTTGGTGATACTCCTCAATAAGGTTTTCATCGGGATACATATATATTCATGATTATCCTGATAATATGGTATATCACAATTATTTTTGGCCACTAATTTTCATATCATCACACAACAAGAGATTTCCTCCCAAACTCTAATCCCAACTAAACATGAGCTAATTCTTACTTAAAGTAACCAGATCAAAACTCAGCTGAGTTATTGAGTTCAGGAAAGTTAAAGAGTGTTTGTAAGGCATTAAGATACTCTCCATTTTGAATTTGTTATCATAAAAGTAACATTATTAGTCACTGAAAGTCACCTAAAAAAAGATGGGCAAACTGAGTCTCGGTGGATTTACCCCTCCACCACCAGATTTCTGGCTATAATTAGCAACATAAATACATCCAGGCGGGGTGAAAATGGTAAAATATGTTTCTTACATTAATCACAGTTCTTCAGCGGGGTTTTAAAACTAGCAGCCTGCTGGTTTGGTAACGTTAAACTAAGGTAGTCGTCCTGCAATGAGTCACCGGAGGAATTAACGTTTCTATTGTACAGAAATAATCATCTAATATATATTTTTGAGCAGCTTTACACAAGAGCAGTGTTGTGTACAGCGGCGACAGCAGACCTTAATACACGTATTGTTATTTTTATTTTTATTTTTTTAAAAGAAACACGCTGTTCTTAATTATTACTGTGTCAAAATGAACTTGCGTTAACGTAACAATAGCTAGGAACTTAGCTTTAGTAGCCTGGCAGCGCTAACTGCGTAGCTTAACGGTAGCTGTCCCGTTAACGGTCTCGGCTTGTACTCACCACTTCAAAGACAGCGGGCTGAATGGGTTTGGGATTAAACAACAAAAAATAAAAAAGTGGTTATTCCTTTATAATCCAGCGCTCTGTAAATGTGTGTTTCATTCACACACCGACGGCGAGGAGTAGCACAACGTCTCCCCCGAGGCTCCACAAGGACCGCGTTCAGCCGCCTGAGTGAGTTTTGTCCAGGCACGGTCGGGACACTTGTGGCCATTGCTGTGGAACTGCGCCCGGTGTTTTGAGTCGTCTCCCTGGCAACACTGCGGCTCTACAGCGCCCCCTCTCTGTCAGGCACGTAACGACCACACATATAATACTTTATATTAACTAAAACCCAAAACAATCCCCCAAAATCTCCCTGTACAATAATCCTGGGACTCTAATATCCACTGAACTTAATATTTATGTTTCCATTTTCTTTTTTTAAACATAAATACTATCTGTATATACTGTCATATCCACCTACCTCATGTACATGTATAATGTATACTACATAGTAGTTTATGTCTATTTTTGTCAAGCTTGTTGTTCTGTTTATTTATGCTTTTAGTCTGTGTTTGTACATTGAGAGCAACATAAGTCAGAATCAGAATCAGAAATATTTTTTAAAAATGTGTTTGTTACAGTTGTTCTACAAAAAGTAAGGATACAAATAATAATGGAAATATAATAAGAGCCTAATAGATATAATAAGATAATAAGAGCCTATATACAAAGTAAAACTGCCGTCAAATTCCTTGTATGTGTGCACATACCTGGCTGAAAATGATCTTGCTGTTATAGATCTGCTATAATGTATTGTACATTAAGTAATGTATTTCACTGTATTCCTCTGTGCAGTACATGGGCCCAAGCACACACTGAGGCACACACTGAATAAAAAAAAACATTTCAGGCTGCTCACAAATATCAAGAATGCAACATGAAAAAAGTTAATATTAATGGGTTTTGTCACTCCTATTTTTATGCCTTGACTTATATTTGGGTGAAAATCAGGCTCTAAATTTGAATGATTTGGGGGGTGTAAACAAGAAATATATGCTGCTATGGATTCAGGGACTTAAAGTAATGCAGAATGTTAGTTATACAGTTAGTTACAGTTACATTATATACATCATATTGGATTATAGTGAAGCATTAATGTGTGAGCAACATTTTAATGTGGTCAGTAGTGAAGTCTGCAGGCTGCAGGGTTTTCCTATTGTGTCCTCTTCCTCTGCAATAACCTTCCTGCTGATACCCGACAGTCTGACTCTGTTGAGAGCATTCACATTTACATTTCTAAGCTTCAACCTCATCTTTTTGCTTTAACTTTCAGTTGGCTGCTTATTTTTGATTACCTTGTACGTGTTACCCTGATTCAAAATTGTCATTACAAAATATCCATTGAAATTTAGTGGAGTAGAAGTATAAAGCTGCTTAAAATGAAAATATATAAGCAAAGTACAAGTACCTCAAAATATTACTTAAGCACAGTACAGAGCAGAATGTACTTTACAAATGATCAGTGGTATTCAGATACTTACCTTAAGTTAAAGTACTAATATCACACTGTCAAATACTCTGTTACAAGTAAATGTCTTTACCTTTAGCATTGAGTATTATAAGGAAATCATAGACTATATACATTCACAGGGACTTTTTTATGTACCTTTTATTGAACTACCCTCGGGATAAATAAAGTATATATCTATCTATTAGATAAGCAGCAGTGGCCCCAGCAAGGTGAAGTATCTCTTGGAAAATTAGAAACTGAATGAAGCAACTCAGAGATAAAATGCTTAGTAAATCTCTTGTTACTCTGTCAGTGTATCCTCTAATAAATAAACATACCCTAATTGCACTTGAGGGTGTGAAGAATTTGCCGTTATTTTCCACAATCATCTTCAAACTGATCCCCTTACATTCCACACATTTTACACACATTCACATAGATGAATTTAACTAAGTTCTTGTCACAGCACTATTAATCATCACCAACTAATGGGATCTACTGTCATTTCACCTTGCAGAGCAGAACAGAAACTGTCTAATCTCATGCAGCCTCAGAAATATCTACACCAAAGCCTGAAGCTGCCTTTTTCCTGCTGTATTTTCTATTAAGTTAATCCTTTCTGACACCTCTGTGCTTAACCTCTTTTCCTCATTAGGCTCTCTCCTGCCAGTTCCCGATTCTTAAATACTTACCTTCCTGGAAAGAGAGACAGTTAAACCCCCTTTGCTTTGCAGTGATTCATTCAAGTGCAGCTGTTTTCTCTTTGTTTATCTGAAACAGTGATGGATGAAGGAATCAGATACTTACATATAAGTGAAAGCATTATCAGCAAAAATGTATTTAAAATATAAAAAGTTAAAATACTAACTCTGCATAAAAACGCCTCCTGTAACTGCTATATATTGTTAGATATGACATAGATAGGTTGAATTTTACTGTTGTAGCTTGTTGAGATGAGGCCCTGTTTTTAATACTTTATACAGTATACAAGGACACAAGATGATTTAATTTGCCAAAGCAGGGTTGTATAATGAAATTCAGGTTGTGGTTCCCTTTATGCTACAAAAACAAAACTATATACTGTTAGTTTGGTAGTTTAGTCCAGAGGTTCTCAACATCGGGGTAAGGTCCCCTCCAAAGGGTCAAAAGATACTGTAAATCTGAGGGGTCATTAGATGATTAATGAGAAAGGAAAGAATCATTTAAAATAGATTCTGTAAATTTCCATTAATTGTTTTTGTGAAATATTGGATGATCTTACCTCTTTGGGCCTTGAGACCATGTGAGAAGTGTAGAAAGGAAATGTCCCTTTGGTGGAACTGCTAAATAATCTGAAACATAACAAGGGGCCCAAGCTAGACACAGATTTTTGGTAAGATGTCACAAGCCAGGAAGGATGTGAACCACTGGTTTAATATTTCAAAATGTGTATTTTATAAGCTTATATACATTTTATGTCATCGGAGTAATTATAGATGTCAAATGTAGTTGAGTTTCTCGGAACTGTAGATAACTTGAAGTATAAAGTAGCATAAAATGGGAAATACACGTAGAAGTAGCTCAAAATTTTATTGACCACTTGAGTTTTTAGTTACTTTCCACCAAGGTTTTTTTTTTGCAGAGCATAAATGCAGTTAAACACATTCACATTTGGGAACTGTATCCACTGGGGTGCTTTGCTAAAGAAGGTTAGACCATTACTCATTCATTCAGAATCCATGCACGTCTGCAACCTTCAGGCTACCACCTACCAAAGGTTTTAGTACCAAAGAAGCAAATCACTATTTTTTCTTTATATATATTTTATTAAAAAAGGAAACCCAACAAGAACTTTTTTTACATAATGATCAAGGATTTTTATTATCTTTGTCTCTTTCATCAGTTTCATATCATTACAGAAAATGTTATAGTACAGCGTTGTTCAATGTCTCCTCATTGCTTAATAATTTCCTTAGGAGTGCTGGTCACATATATCTGTACAATATGGTTCTTATTTTTTCTGTACATTTTTTGTGAAGTTGGTTAAAAAGGCTGTCAGCACTTAAAGAAGCTGTTTCTTTTCTTTCTTTTTTTTTTTTTCTTAAATAGTTGATCAAATAAAAGATTATTTTTCCCAGGTTCAGCTCGCCCCTGGGGGGGTTTGGGGCAGAGTTTAGACCCGGTCACCGTGAATATAAGGAAGCTTCAGGGTCTGGGCAGACTGGGGTGTGCCCCCCCACCTCCCCATCCCAACATCACCTCTTCCCTGCCCAGGCATTTGGCACTGCGCACATAAACAAGACTCACAAGATAAACAACAAGCAAAGCTCTTTGTGAAGCCATTATGATGCATACTAATGAGAGAAAAACAGAAGTGTCACCTTGATGGGTGCTCAAAAGAGGAAGTGGTCTTGATGTGCCCCCTCTTCCTCTTAGCTGAGCACCATGGGAAATCTGGAGTCTTCCTCAATGTTTTCTTCATTTTCAAAAAACAGATTATTTTTTTCCACTAAAGATGAGAAAATAATAATTTTCTTTTTTTGTCCTGGCAGGCACCTACAGCTGTCTATTAAAATGCTACTGCTATAGATAAGGTCTAGCATTGAACACACAAAGCAATTGCAATGAAAGGAACAAAGTTGCCTTAATATAATAATGATAATAAGAAGAATAATGATAATAATAATAAGAATAATCATAATAATATATTACAGAATAAATCTCTTTTTATAATTAGATTTTTTCATTAAAAGTTATATTTTCTTTGTTTGAAATACTATAATCTTTTTAAATTAATTTTTTCATATGTATCTAGGTTGTGATCAAGATGTTGACTATACCTCAACGTTATCCAAATCAATAAAAACTAGCTGTGCCGTTGCATATTACAGAATAGTCAATGATATGTGGACATGCACCGTGAACCACCCATTCCAACCCTCGCTATATGACGCCGACGCTCCATCCCTCTGTGATGACATCATAGCCGGCCGATGACCATGACGTCAACCACCTCGCCCTTGTGCAGCTCCACGTATTGCTCTGTTTTTGGAGGTAGCATCAGGAGCCCGTTAGCACTGCGCATGCTCATCAGCCTGCTGCTCACCTGGTTCCCTGCAGTGGGGAGGAGGGGGAGACAGAGGGGGATGAAATACTTTAAAAAAACAGAATCTAACCCATGTGGGAAAATTTGGGAATTTCCTTTGTGTTTCATCCCATCATAATGAAACTTAACATGATTAAGATGGCCACCAAAACTATTAAGTTCTGCAGTTTGACCTATTAGTTATATTATTTGTCATTGTCAAACTGGCTAAAAATACTACAGAGGCCAAGTGCTTTAATCAGTGTCGGATGCAGTAAATGCAGAGAACCTGGGGTAGTTGTGGTACGGACTAATGTTTATTTCCACTGTGCCTATATAGAGTAACAGGTGTAATTAATCTACTTTATTATTTCTGCCCTGATGAGGATCCCCTGAGGTTGCAATTGCCATTATGCGCCAAGTTAAAGCTTTTAAATAACTTTTCTCTGAGCCTGAAGAACATTTTTTTTTGTTGGCTAATTTTAACTTTATAATGCCCCTCAAAAATGCACCACACATTTGCATTGAGAAATCCATGAAGCAACTGCAGTTCAGTTAATGTGTTTATTCTGAGTATTTTTCAAGTATCTAGCTAAATTCACTTTGTTCTTTACATTGGATTCCTTGCTAGACAGGGAGTGATAAATTAAAAAATGATGCTATCAACTAGTGAACAGTCAGAGCCTGAATTCAGATACAGAAAGCCAAATCCTTCACAGTATTGTTTGGTGCTGGCTTTGGATGGATTTCGGTACCTGTGCTCTGTGCCCACGGCAGAGGCTCCTGGTGATGCCATGTCAGAATGCAGCGGTGGTATTCAGGGCGAGGGTCCAACTTCACATCACAAGACAACTAGAGAAAAAACATACAACATAAATAATAAAGACATATGCCAACAAGTCATCTTCATCACCCCGGATGTTTTTGTGTGTAATTCGTAAAGGTGGGTGCGATTTACCACATAGAGAAATTTCATAAAGTATAGAAACATATACTGAATTGAGTTTCAGATAACTTCCTAGAGCACTCATTTTATCGTCCAGAGATAAAACCCCCACTATTCTTGTACCTACGGACGCTAAAGTAACAATGTTACAGGTTTCTTAGGCAAGTACAAAATTTAACTGCAGACTGGTAAAGCATTGAACTCACTACCCTGATGGCCACAAGCCGAAACCCGGTTGTCTCTCAAGAAAGTTGTTTATGGTACTATTTTTACTGGAGTTTTGGCCTCTCCGTGCACCTTGGAAATAGGAGAGGTTGTGGCAGAAATCCCTACAAAGCTAGGGACTTAGTAAAAATCTCAAGTTTGTATAGTGTGTGTCCTCAAGGGTTGATTTTCAGCCAGAAGTAGAGAAGTCTTGAATATCAAACTTTCCTTCAAATACATGAATGCAGCAGAATAGTTAGAGCAAAAAAAATCTTATAATGGCAAAAATCCCAGATCTGAACCATCACCAAAATATAATTAACTTGGGTAAAAGGCTACGTGCCCACCCAAATTCTGCCAAAAACATTTGTACATTTCGAAACTTTATATATTTTCTAATAGGCAACAAGGCAAACAGAAAGCAGTGGACACTCTTCCAACTTTATTGGCAACGCCATCGGTTTTCCCTGAATACTGTTTGACCTGGGTCTGATGCCATCTGCTGAGGGAAATTATCTGGCTACATCTGTGCTTTCAGGCCATCAGTTCCACCACTAAGTGGCAGTAATGTATTCAAGTTGATTTCTAACTGCTTTATAACAGCAAATGATGTAGCAAAGCTCTCTGGATAGCACTCATGATGGCAGGGGACCAGACCTCTTACTTGATGATACTAGTTGGGGACACAAGCTGCGGCTGTTCAGTGTATATGATATTATTATGATTTTTCTTGCTCTGCGGTTATGAATATTCATGAGCAGGGAGCAGGCCTTCAGGTCAGTGTGGGCCATGATTGGTTCCTCTGCCAAGTCAAACCAAAACATGGCGGTCATAAATATGTATCAAGCGGATGATGAAAATAGTATTGAATCATGAGTTAAGATGCAACGGACTGCAGTGATACACCCTGGAACTTTAGTACAAACATAATTGTAAATATTCAGTGTTTTAGACCTTTCTGCTGCAGTTTGTTCCATCTGCACTCAAATGTTCACATATGGGAAGAGAAAGAATCATTTTGCAAATAGGGACTGTTTTTTTTACACCTTTTTTGACTTTTCCTTTACCTGTATGGATAAAACCTGCTTCCTGTCACTGAAACAATGGCTGTGAATTATGACCTAATTCAAAGTCTCAGTTGAGACCTCATGTCTGGTCATTAAAGAGAAAAAAGAAACCCTGTTTTGTGACCACCAGCGCCTCAACAGATGATGAACTTTGACTTTGTGTGTCTTGGCAGGCTGCCCTGGTTGCCCTTTTGCATCCTACCCTCGCTTTAATGATGGTGGGCCTAGGGTCCAAAATGCCCTGCATCTTCCTCAAGGCAGGGATGACAAAAAGATTACAGGTGACAACAGCGGACACGGGGTTTCCTAGGACAGACGGACGGACAGAGGGAGGAGAGCAGGAAGAGAATAGAGAGAGAAAAATATATGAGTAACATCTCTTCAGAAACAGCGGAGTGAATCACTCTTTCTCTCAACTTCACACACTACCTGGGAGGGCAAAGATTAGTTTGCGAGCACCGTCCATGTCCAAGGTGGCAAATGTTGTTGGGAGACTGAAAAAGAAAAGCAACATATGTTAATTTTGGTTTCAACTACTATAATAAATCCTGTAACAATATATGCCTGTTTAATGCAACACTGCTTTAAATGTGCATCTGATATTTGTGCAACTGATTATATAACTCATCTTATTTCAAATTTCTGTGAAGCACTTGATGACTGTGTTGTGAAATGTTGCATGAGAATAAAGTTTTCTTACCCTGGTTTCATGAAAACACGACCAAAATGGATCTGAGCATGAAGATCAATATCCAGCACCTGCTTAAGGTAGTCCTAAAAAAGACCAGATATTTTTTGAACAGGTGAAGATAGACAGGAAAGGGGTGTGAGAGAGAGGGGGGACGATATGTAGCAAAGGGTCGCAGGTTGGAATTGAACCCAGGCCGCTGCAGTGAGGACTGAACCTGCTCTACCAGGTGAGCTACCATGCACCCCAAAAAAGACATTAAAATTATAAACCAACGTCTAACAAACATAAAAGAGCAATACAACAGAAGAACCCTCAAACCAGCAAATAATAAAGCTTTAAAATATATATATTTAAATTAATATCTAGTTTTTCAAACCACCCATAAAAGTATGTGAGAATTTATTTGAAAATACAGGGCTGTGTCATTCCCCCTACTACCACAAGGTGTCAGTGAAACACAATGCCATGATGGGATGTGTGCACTTCTTTCCTGCCATCATACCTTCTCTCCCATGGACACTCCTCCTGAGGTGATGATGACATCAGCACGGCTGATGCCTTCATTCAGAGCGTTGAGAAGGTCATCGGGGCTGTGGGACACAGAGAAACACGCACACACACGTTAACCACCAAGGAGAGGAAAAAATGGAGAAGAATAGGGAAATAGAAAGCTAGTTTTGGAGTAAAGTATAGTAAGATGAAGATTATACGGAGGTGTAACAAGTATTAAAATGTTTATAGAATAAACATGAAGGCGTACTTGTCTCCCACGATGCCCAGATTGATGGTGGGGTAGCCATGCTCCTGGATAGTGGCCAGCAGGGTGGAACGATTGCTGTCCCTGATCTTTCCAGGATGGAGGTCATCTTCTGGGTTCAGTAGCTTCCACGACAGGTGGACAAATTAAACATGAGAAACACCTTTTATATACTACATCCTTTCTCAAGTCTGAGTAAAACAGATCTGGCTTAAACATTATTCATGAAATATTCTTAGCATCTCTTTGGATGGCAGAAAGCCTGGTGGGTAAAGTAATAATTATTCTATCATATTATTTCTATATTTAGCCTGCTCTTGGTACCAAATGGGTTGGTTCTGAAAAATAGGCTGAAATAGTGGTTGCCAGAAAATTTTGCTCAGTTTAAAAATATTACACAATATTTTACAGCGATGAGTAAAGAAGTGTCTGAAGCTTGAAATTATCATCCATTTGTTGTTTGTGGTTTTGGATAGACAAAACAGAATATTCATTGCCATACATTTTTGACAATGTTCACAATATTTAGCAAACAGAGATGTAATTTGTTCTCTGCTCCCAGCCTTTCAAATATGAGAATTTTTCTCCTTTATTCTGTTTTACATGACGAATATCTTTGGATTTTGAACTGCCGAACAGAAGATGTCAGCTTGGACTCTTGGAACTTGTGATGGGTGTTTTTTAGACTAAATGACAAATCGATTATTCTAAAAAATAATGAACAGATTATAAAAGGAAAATAATCATTATTATTTAATTATTACTTTCAGACAAAACTAGGAACCAATCGCTTGCAGGTCTTGTTGATATACTGTATGTGTAAATGTATTAGTGTATGCATGACACAAGTTATGTCTTCTATTGTTATTCACACATACTGACCTCCCTACTAATTTAACAGGTTAATAGTGGGGTTTGTAGGCAGAAACACAAGCTCTGCACAGATATGTCAGTAAGCCTGTCTCTTAATTTGGGTCTCAGAAAAAAAAGCAACATTAATACAAAAATGTACACAAAATCTACATAGTCTAATAAACATTGCTGCAGGTACAGAAAGTGTAAAAATGAGAAGACAAAGAAACCAAATCTAATCTTCTGTTTCATCAGACTTGCCTGAAGAAGGGGAGATGAGGACAATAAACCACTTCATAGGTTTGGAATATGGCCATGAAGTAGGTGACTCACAGCTGATTTATACAATTTAGACATATCTGCATAGCGCTCAGAACAAGGTGTTATGGGTATCTAGAGGCTGTTGATGATCTCCATGAAGGTTACACACCCCATGAAATTTAAACTGCACATCAGTCACACGTGAAAATGCACAAATATAATCCCAGCCTTTAAAAGAAACCACCTGGTCACAGATAAACACATTCCTCACAACTGAAAGCACACATGAAACGGCTGAGTACACATTCAGAATGTTGTTCTGGTGTCCGCAGTCAAAGCAAACAATGTTGATTGTGCATAAATACGAACGAGGTACACTGTCAGAAAAAGATGGCACACAGTTGTTACCTTCAGCAGCTGTGGCTGAAGAAATCTGGAAAATCCAGGCACAATGGTGCACCTTGATCTGACAGTGTGGGGTATCATTTCCCACGTCCCATTTTCCAAGTTTTCCTTAAACCCTTACCTCATTTCCTGTGGACATGACAGCCACCACAGGGAATTTCTGCACCTCCACCTCTGTGACTCCCACAGTGGCCAGGAGACCGATCTCAGACGGGCCCATGTGGGTGCCCTTTGCAAGCACACACTCCCCGCGCTTAATGTCATGACCGATAGGCCTATGGCAGGACAGCAGAAAAGGAGGGTTCAGAGGAAAAGGATGTCAGAGATGGTTGAAAAACGCACCGTGCAAAAAGTAAGTAACCTAACAAAGTGTAGCACAAATATACATCCTGGTAGAGACATTTAGTGTATTAGTTTTTGTTAATATAAGTATAGAAGTATATTTATAAGTATTTGTTTTCCCTCCTCCCATAAGAAGTAATGTAAAGGTAAATAAATTCAGAATCATGTGATGAAAATGAAGTCAAGGTGTCAGCAGTATAACCAAAAATCAACTGTGCTTTCAGAAGTATTTTCAGTTATCACTTTCATTTAAAATACTCACCATACTATTTACATTGTAACTTTCATCAGTTTGATACTGCTTACTATGAGATGTATGCTGAAGAGGAGGAGCTAACAAACAAAAAGGTGGGTGGGTGATTGACATTGTCTAACCAATCTACAGTAATAGATAAATTAAATGGTGATTCCATAACACACTAACCTGATGTCCTGCCCTGGGCGAGCCTGTACTAGGATTCGTACCTCCAGCTCCTCTGTGCCCTGAAAGACAAACCAGCTATCAGATCCATCAAAATACAGATAGAGTTTACTTTTATCTATATTATATCAACATACATTGTGTACTCTGTCCCTCTCTGGGTTAAACTTACTCTCAGTTACATTTACAACAACCAGAATCTGTTTTCAGTTGTTGTGGTGTTGGTATAACCTCTACGTAGTACCCGTATAAAGTTAAATGTGAGTCGAAGGTTACTGATCTCTTTCACAGGGTCAGTTCTGGTTGGGTTGAGTTAATCCTGATTCTGACAATATTTCCACCTGCTCACCGGGTAAAAGACCAGGAGTCAGACTTACATCTTCAGACTCGCGGAGCAGCTCGGTGTCTTCCACCTGGACTACAGCGTCAGCCCCGCATGGGATAGGGGCGCCCGTCGTCACCCTCATCACCTGGCCAGGCATCACTGTGTGGGTTGGCTGCACAGAGAAACAAACAGGGATAAAACATGTGACTAAAATAAATTACAAAGAAGGATAAAGCACTAACTGAAGTAACTTAAGAAAACAGTGATCAAATTAAAGTGAAAACACAATAAAACAGCACATAAAGAAATTTGTAGACCTAGTAAAGGATATGAAAGCATGTGTAGACTACGTGTTTGCATGTGTGCTGATTTTGTTCAAGATGAGAGGTTGAGGTACTCAATAAATCTCTGTAGCCTACTCTTGTCTCAGAGGTCTAATCTGTTTTACAGTTTGGCAGCACTTTTGACTTTTGAGCTCTGCTTTGGGGCGAAGAGCTTTTCATCACCTGCTAGGGGAACACACTGGTGTGCAATTACAGCTGGTCAAGGCGTGAGGTGAAGGACAAAAGTAAAGTAATGTATTTTCATATACAGGTTGCGGGGGTGTGTTTGTGTGTGAGGCTATTTTTTCTGTGAGCTAGAGAAAGCATGTGTTTCTGTGACTGTGGGCGCGGACCTGCTCTCCAGCTTGGGACTCTCCGATGATGAAGCGGTCGCCTGGGCCATCAGCCGCTAAAATAAAAGAAAGATTTAACAACATTTCACATGTGTGCAGTTGACAATGTGTGTGTGTGTGTGTGTGTGTGTGTGTAGGAGTGTGTAATTTACTGAAGTCATCATTCAGTGGGCTACAGAATGAACAAACAGGAAGAGAAGGAGAGCGAGAAACACTGACATTTGATGTTCTTTAATTAAAGGACCAATGTGTAGCATTTAGAGGCATCTAGTAGTGTAGTTGCAGATTGCAAATCCTTCACTTCACCCTCCCCTTCCAAGCACCAAGGAGAAACTATGATGGTCGCAAAATGAGCGAAAAACGCTAACAGCACTATATAGAGCTAGTATTTATCCATTACAGCATCCCCATTCTAGGATACTGTAGAAACATGGCAGTTCAACATGGCGGCCTCTGTGGAAGGTGACCCGCGGCGTCTGCAGATAAAAATGGCTCATTCTGAGGTAATGAAAACGAAATTTTCTGGTGACTATACACCAAAGAAAACATACCTATTAATATTATATTCCATCTCTGCCAACAGAGCCTGTTAAATATTACACACAGGACCTTTAATTAAACATCTTAAAAATAGACTTATACAGTATTTTCGATGCTAACAGGCCTCACAGATTTAATAATTGATCATAAAGTAGCACGCTCTTCTTCTGTAAAGCTGAGCCATACAGGCCACAAGAACTTTTTTTAAAATCATGCCCTCCACTTTGGGGTGCACAGAGACAGTCCCTTTAGGTGTAGCTACAGCCGGATAGCCAACTTGAGCCAATGGGAAAACAGAGAATCCGGAGACACCATTATTGTTTTGCTTTGCTCTTTTACAGACCAAACTCAGAAACAAGAATGACGCTCATCACAAGACACTCAAAACGCAATTGAAACTTTAAAATAGCCTTTGACATTGCAAAATGTTGTTGGTGAATGAAAAACTGTGACTTTAATTTCATGGTTTAACATGTTATGTTGACTAAAGGATTAAATGCCTCCCTGTTTGTGTCTGGCACACTTTTCCTTTTGAAACACTTGACAAAAACCCCACTGGATGACAACAAACATCTGTTGTTGAGTTAAAAACAGGACAGTTTTTTTTCTAGTTTTGACACTAATTTGACACGGTGGAAATGTGTGGTCTTCACAATTTCCAACCTCCTGATTCAGTCAGCACTGAATCACCGGTTTGTCACTAGGACATGCGCTTTTGTTGCACGCTCCCTGACTTCTTTGGAAGTGTCTGCTGCATAACCTTGCAGTTTTTGGAGTTAACAGTACACATACATGGTTTTTAACTCTTACCTGTCCGAACTGCGGCATGCTCAGAGCACAGGAAGACAGCAGTATTTTCTCCTGACACTCTTTGCATTTAGGAAATGCTGTCAGTAGAAGGAACATGTACCCACTCTTTGGTATGATCAGGCCTCAGCACTTCCCTGAACCCAACCAATTCAACCATTCAACTTTTTTTTCTAACCTAAACCAAAAGTACACACTGGCTCTGAAGAAAGCAATAGGTTATTTGCTCCTTCCACACCCACAGTCTAGTCACTAAAATCTCTCAAATCTGCACATGTGCGCCTCGGCAGGCACCAGGCCCTCAGGACAGGTGCATAAAACCCAGAGAGACCTGTGGTGTTCTGCTCCTCCTACTCCATCAGCAAGAGCCAACAGCAGATGTTACATGTAAGAGTTTTTGGGCTGCCTGGAGCCAACAAGCTGCCACTCAGCTCTCCAGGTTAACAGGACCCTCAATGCTTTCCAGGATGCTGATTTTTCAACCAAAACAAGTTCGCTAACTCTGAGGAGTGCAGCTATAGCCATGAAACCCATCTCTCTGAACAAAGGTAAGCCCCATAAATCTTCATCTCCACCAGGCAGCTATGGCCGACAGCCCCCTCCGTGTCCCACAATTCCTCAATCTCCCTTCAGTTTACCCTGGCAGAAGAAGCCTTTACATGGCTCCTGAGGCAGTTCTCTACTGCCCCAGTGTCCTGTTATTCTCTAACTAGGACAGTCAGGTCATCTGAACTGGAGGAAAGACACACTGGCCTGGTTAGTTCTGCAACCTCCTCTTAAGAAACCAGAACAGTGACTGTATGTGTAAATTGCGCTTAAAGTCCTTCTTAGGTTCTCTGTTTCTACTAGTTACCTTATTTCCTACATTGGTCTGCACCATTAGATTTTAAGAATATCTAAAGACTAGTAATGTCTACAGCAATTACTGGGAGATCTGCAGCACCATCCAATCAAAAGCAACCAACTATGTAAACAGGAAGTGTGACAGAACTTCCAAAATTAACAGTTTTAGAAGGTAAAACAATATATTAAACTTAACTGCTAATCCTTTTCACAGTAGCAAAGATTTAGCCGGGTGGGGCGTTTGTCATCAAATGTAATTTACAATCATCCCAGTTATCATCCCTATTAAACAGCATTTTGATCAAGTGTCAGGTCAGATGTGTTGCATATTGCCTTGTTTTGTCTCTTCAGTCAAACGGTTCATATTTCAAGCTAAGATGAGTCCACATTTACACCTTGCAGCTGGTAACAACAAATGTGTGTTTGTAAGACCTAGTTTTAATTTAGTGATGTGTAAATCTCCACTTAGTAAACTCTTACGTTATAACTTACAAGCAGCTGGTGCAACCGCCTGCAGAGCTTCCACTGTTCTCCAAGATAAAAACATAATTAAAAGGCCAGTAGTAAACATTGTCTTCTCTATTTTAGTTTTAGGGAACACTCATTGTACCATATGAGCAGAATATAGGCTCTGCCTACTATTTATATAAACCTCTGCCTGCATGTACTTTGTTCCAGTATCTTTTACATCAATGTGTGTTTGAGGCCTGAATATTAATTGAAAACTGGAGTTTCTCAGATTCTAACATCTACACTTTGCATCTTACCGACATTGTTTCAACAAAAACTGGCTCTGAAAGTAAAAAAAAGTACTCAATTCATGTGAGACAGACGGGATGAGAACTTATTTCAAATGACCTGCCATAATGTATGGTACTTACCTCTCACAGCATAACCATCCTTGACAGAAGCAGGGAAGGGTGGCAGGTTGTCTTTGGCATAAACGTCCTGAGCCAGGACTCGACCCATCCCATCTGTGGGAGAAGAGGAAGAACATGGGTATGAGGAGAGGAGGAGAAGCTGGGCGAAGGGTGGCGAAGGGAGAGAGCAACAGCTGGAGAGAGAAAGAGAGACAGAGGCAGAGAGGGTGAGGGAGACAGTGAACCTGATTCAGATGAAGATACAGTGGGGCATATGTGCCGTAGGTGTGTATATGTGTGTGTGTTTTTAAGGGGAGACAGAGTGTGACACCACGCATCAGGATCTCTGTGCATGACTCACCACCTGACCGGCGCACATGGACACACACAATCACAAACACACATACACTCTTTTTCTATTTCAGCTTTACTGATTCACATACAACAACTGGGGGCTTGCAAGTGTCCCTATACAGATTTCTTAACCACTTCCACCAGCCAGACAACTTAAAAAACATTTGTGTAGGAAGAACAGAGTCTGCACTGAGACAATAGCTCAGAGAGAGTGAGCAAAGGAAAGAAAGACGGAAAAAGACATAGGGAGAGTGGGTGGAGGAGAAAAATCCTGGCACTAAAATACCTTAAGCTGCTGTGTAGCTATATATAGCATTTCCCAGAGCCTTTATGCTATGATTATGTGGGTGTTAATATGAAGATCTAAGCTTTGATATCAGTAAGTTGAAGAGGAAAAAAAATATGCACAAACACATATAGACACCCACACACATGCATGCACACATCAGCTTACTAGATGACAGTCATAACGAGCTGCTGTAAATAATGCATCTCAGTGGTAGAAGAAGACACACGTGCCTGTTGTCCAATCCTCACATCTTTTTTAAAATCAACAGCCTTTCATCCGAGATATTCTGGTGTAATTTCACAACCGCTACTCCGTCCAAGCTGCTGTTTAAACAGCTTGTTAAAACCGTGCGTTGAAGCTGAGTTGTGAATAAAAATAGAACAGAGTTGAAGCAAAATATGCATTTGATCGGATGCTTTGAGGAACATCGCTTACATTACGTCCAGGTGTTCAATGGTCATTAAATCAAGGGGCATTGTGACATTCAAATAATCCGCTACTAGAAATAATCTAAAAGTTTAGAACACAGTAAAAGTGTGATACAGCAATCCATGTGTCTGTTTATTACATATTCTTGCAGGTAGATAGATGGGAATTAAAGGAATGTTTTGACATTTTGGGAAATACGCTTATTTGGATTTTTACGTATGGATTTTTACTGAACCAAACTAGCTGTTCTCCAGCCTTTGTGCAAAGCTAAGCTAATCGGTTGTAGTGGTAGCTCCACAATGTACAGAAGCAGCCGCCTAGAATTGCCAGCTGGTCCACGACAGGCCTTTGGTTATCTGAATAGAATGAATAGATATATCCGGCTGGCAGCTGGCTGGCAACTGGCTGCGGGCAGCAATTCAGAGTGGCTGGTACTGTGCAGACATGAGAGTGGTAACTCTCTTCTGGTCTCGCTCTCGCCAAGAAAGCTAAAAGGGTATTTCATGAAATATCAAACTATTCCTAAGGATTTGAGATATTTAGCATTTTTTTTTTTTTTTTACATATTTTACCTACAAAACTTTCTCTAAAATACATGTGAACAGTGACATTCAATGCAGATTAATGTGTGTATTACACCACTATGATCATAAAATAAGAGACAGATCCGTATTCCACACACACAAAAATACAGCATAGCATATACACCCATCAGCACACACACACACACACACACACACACACACACATGCAGACCCCTTTAAATCCAGCAGGGGAGCTGCTCCAGCTGTTGTCTCTTAAAAAATATAATTTCTCATATCCCAACTTCCTCTCCTCCCTCATCCCTTAGCCCACTGTCATCCTGCAAATCCTGCAATTCACTTCCCTCTCCAAGAACATGAAACATCACTTTGCACCTTGGAAAAGACAGACTGTTCCTTCTATCATCATTGATCTTGAAGTCATGTGCGCCGCAGGCTTTTACTGCCCCCAATCCTTGCTACTCTGTCTTCAGAGATGAATTGAAAAGTGTGTGTTTTCCCCCTCTGGCCCTCAACCTGGCTCTGTGTCACCCTCCACTCTGCCAGAAGGCTGACTAGACCCACGGGTCCTAAGCTAACTTCTCAGTGTATGTTTGTGTCTGCGTATGACTGTTTAGACATTCAAATACATAAAATAAAGTACAACTACACAGATGCATTAAAAGCGTACATTCATTTAGTTTAAATCAAGGTGAATTACTATAGAATTGAAAATTAATATGAATCAGAATTATTTTCTATTTCACTTTCTAAAAATAACAGATTTGTTTTGGCTACTTGGGGCAGTGGAAACAAGCTGTAAACAAAAATTTGACATATCACCACCTTTTAAGAATTTAATCAAAAAGGTGAACAAAGTTATTGATTTCCTTATAAATGTCTACTTATGGATATGCACTTGTGATTGGCTAGTTAGCTTACCCAGTTGATGCTCTGTTAATTTTTAACAAACCCCTAACCTAACCTAACCCCTACACCTGCACAAACCTCAGTCTGATAAAGGATCAATGAGTCAGGCAGACTAGACTAACATATGCAGCCCCTGCGCTCCCTCTGCTATCAAGGTGGATGGCATCCCCCTCAAATCCTCTACCAAGCCTACACACTAAGAAATCAAGGTACAAGAATGGACCTAAAAGGGTACAAATGCTTTGTCTAGCAAACCCTAGCAGGGTACAATCACTGTACCTTTAAACATGGTACATTTTTGTACCTTCTTTTCTATACCCCTTCTCACAAAAATATACCTTTATGTCGTGGTACAAGAATGGACCCATTGGAAAGGTACAGACACGCTCTGATCACATTCTTACTGTTACACATTCATACCAGGATGCTGCCCAATACAACCACAGCCGTTGGGGTTATGGTCAAGGACACCTCAAGTTGTGGTAATGAGGGAAGTGCTGCTTCTTCACTTTCCCCACCCAGATTTATCCTGCCAGGTCCTGGGATTGAACCGACAACCTTCAACCAGTCTCAAGCTCATTCCTCTAACATTTAGACCAACACTGACCATTTACAGTAACTCACCAAAATCTATATAAAGAAATAACAAGTAATGTACATCATTTAACACTTTTCAGTACCTTTTCATTGTATTGTTCAACTAGAACGGATTGTCCAAAACAAGTGAATGCCAACTATAAGTGCACTTGCCACAGCAGACTGCAGGGGGAAAAATGGGTTGCACTACCCAACTCCACAGGGGCTCCATAAGGCATAAAGTACAGTTAAATAAAAAATAAAAATGAGGCCCCATGGAGAAATGCAAAGAATGAGAAAATAGATTGACAGTAAAACAGTGAGAATACTTAAATAAAATAAAATTGTGAGTAATGGTAATGGCTAGTGGAAGCAATTCACTCTGCTACACAATTGCTGACAATTAGCAACTTAAATGAATAAAATCCTTCAAATAGATTTGTGAACTTGTCAATACTGAAGAAGGGCGTCTACTAACTCCTGATTCTCCACTATGTTCACTAGCAAACTTTCTGTTTGATGCTATGCAGGTAGTGAACAGAAGGTATTTTAGGGCTTTTTCAGTGAAAACAGCTTCCTGCGGCATCCAGAAAGTACACTGAAGTTGTGGGCAATAAAACCAAAATGAGCTGAAAGATGCTGAGAGGCTTGTTAGAGCTGAGGGGAACTGCAGAGTTGAGTGATAATTCTCTGTGGGTTTGTCAATAAGTGTGACCTCTTTCACATACATAGTCATTTAATCCTATAAAATATATATTTCTATATACATAATATATAAATATTGATCGTAAAAGCTTTAAAGTGAAAATGAACAATTCTTTTAGAAATAAATCAATGAAACTAGTGCATTATATCTCTCTTTCTGTCAGTTTGGGAACAAAATCGTAACTGTAAAAGGAAGAACCAAATAAAAACTAATGAAAAATAAAACCTGTAACAACCTGAATTCAGACTTTGATAAATAACCACTGAACTGTGAGAGACATAAAGACTCAGATGCAGGGGCACTATTAGCTATGTGTGACGTGTGTCAATAATGATGATAACTTTTTTTAATGTAGAAATCCTGAAAGTACAGTTTAGTTCTCAACACAAAAACACAACAATGAGGCATGAAAAAGGCCCAGTAATGTGGTACTTTAGAAAAAGGTTGTTTGTTATGTATGTGCCCTTGTAGTCTAGTACATTTGTGTGTGTGTGTGTGTGTGTGTGTGTGTGTGTGTGTGTGTGTGTGTGTGTGTGTGTGTGTGTGTGTGTGTGTGCATTTAATCATGTGACTGACACAGAGGCACGCGGACAGAGACTGCTGATTCAGTGAGGTTGTGGACAGATAGTGTTTAAATGCTGTCATGTGAACTTAGCAAACGCATGTTGTTACATCAATCTGAAAGGTGTGACACCTCAACATCCCAGCATGCTCAGTGGCTGATGTCAGCAGGCATAATGGGAGGGTAAACTGGAGATGTCAAGGGGCAAGATGAACACATCTAGGACATTTAGGCGTGTGCGGATAAGATTTGCCGCAGAACTTTCTTTACCTAACAGCCTGAAAGAGTTGAAAAACAACCAAACATCTGTTCCCCTAACCTCTGTAGTTGATGATCTCAGTGCCCAGGACAGCGGTCATCTCCAGCACAGTGATGAAGGCCTTGTCCATGGAGGTGAGGGGGAAGGGGGACATACGGTGCCTCCGGGCCACCTTGGTGATGTCCACTGCACTGTGACCTGAGAAGACATGTGACATTACACTGTCATGAAATGGTTCTCAGAAAATCAAACCATATCACAAGACACTTGCACTGCTCTGTTAGAAATAACTCACATTCACTCATTCGCTATTTGCTGCATACAAACACTAGTAGTGTGTGAACCTGACTCATATTGGATTTTTAGGGATATTATCTGATATCTTTTAACTGATTTTCAGTTTTGAAAACACGAGATAGAGGCATTTTTTGAAATAGTTTTGACCAAGATTGCGTCCAAATCACTTCTGCATCAAGTTAATTATCAGCAAATATGTTCAATAGTTTACTGAATAGTGAGTGTTAAATCGAGGCATTACACACACTCGTCATCATTTTTTGCCATCACTGCTAGGTATAGTGTCCTATTTCTGTTTCCTTTAAAATCAGAAAAAACTGGTAGACATGCTATGGACACTAGATTGTTTGTCCTATTGTAGAAAAGAGTGGATACATTTAAACAAAGAATTTAGATGCTGACATAAAATAAGCATAAATATAGTTCACGAGTGAGAGAACAGGGAGTGATTTCAGACATTGCTCCAGACCCAAGCTTTGAAAATGTATGCCTAGACCAACCTCAATCAGAAAAACTTGAGTCCACTCACCCTTTTTAGCATTTTAATTCTTTATTTAGACAGTTTGAAAGTGGTGAGGAAGATAGAGGGGAGGGAGAGAAGAGAGAACTCTGCTGGGACTCAATCCTGAGACAGTGGAGGCATCTATGTGGCTCCAAAGACAGGGAACTGAACCACTCAACTATCTCTGGAGACAAAAACAGTATTTTAAGAATTTTCTTTTGGCCTAAGAGTGACAAAAAACCTAAAAAAATAAATAGAAATCTACTGAGAAATCCAAACTGATCTGAGCGCACTGGGTTTGCAGCTGTAGCAGAAAAGGTCAGGACTTGATATATATGCACACATGCAAAGACATACAATTAAATAAATAAACACATGTAATCTAATGTGTTTCCACATCACTCTCACCAAGATAACTGGATTAATGTGATTTTTTTTATATATGTGCAATGACACAGTTTAAACACCACGAGGAGGGATTGGCGAGAAATAGTCCTGTTTGTTCGCAGAAGCTGTGGAACCCAGCTCAATAGCAGCCACGTTGGTCTAATAATACCTCTCTAATAATTCCAAAGGTAAAAGGAACAAAGCAAGGTGTAACTAATATGTAATCTGCTCTCTCTCTCCTTCTCCCTTTATCTCTCTCTGCCTTGCTCTCCCTCTGCCTCTCTGCCTCAGAGCGAAGAATAGGCGCTGTGCTTTGATTTCCCTTGACCCAATTTCTCTCCTTTAAACATACACTTACGCTTCCACAGCATATTCTGATGCTTAACATGAGGCTTAAAAACCTCTGGCAAAACATCACGCACACACACACACACACACACACACACACACACACACACACACACACACACACACACACACACACACACAGCACAGGCGCACAAACGCAACACAGCAGCCGCACACAGCCAAACACACAAACCATGCTCGCATTGTCACATCACATGCGCATTTAAAATCTATTTATGCATGTTTGAGAGCACACTTGGTGACACACAGATATGACACACAGACAAAGAGAGAGTCTTGAATTGGAAACTTAGTACTCACTTGATCTTAGGATATTTTCTTTGCTGCTGCATCGTGACTGCACCTAAAGATGAAGGGTGCGATTGGGGAGAAAAAGACGAAGGGCAAGAGGAAAAAGAGAAAGAGAGCAGAGGTAGTGGTAATTTGAGATAAACCGGGCTGCTCTTTTGACATGCTTGAGATGAGAAGCTGTTTACACAACAGTCAGAAGCATTGGCAACAGCCGTGTCACACTACACTGTGCACTTTGTCCTGCTGTTGGGAGATGTCTGCATCTCCTGCATTGCCATTATCATCACTTACTGTACACTACATCATCATATCACAAGTGATATATTCACACTGGTAAATGCACTGACAGGTCACATCACTATTAGATTAGAGCATTAAAAAGGAATATATGGACAAAGGCAACAACATACAGAGTGACAATATTGTATCACAAGGTCATAACAAGATGTATTAACTGTGCTACGGTGTAACATCAAATGTAGTGGAAATGTAGTGTTGAGTATAGATATAGAGTGGCTGTTCAGATGTGGTGCAGGACAGTTAGATTTTTTTGGAAATTGCTGATGCTGTGCGGTAGCTGCACTAGCTCCTTTACTACTTGTAATCTATGGCAAGGTGGGGAGGAGAGCAGAGTGGGTTAAAACTGGGCTGAGCTTCCCAAAACTACCTTGAGACTACAGCTAACTGGTGGTAATGGTGAGCAAATGGAGAAAAAAATAAATGAACAGTGGTGCTGGTATTGTTAGAACTAATATGTCTTTGCAAAATTAACTGAAACAGTACAACAAAAGGAAACCTTGATGGAGACGGTTAATAGCTTCTTGAGATAAAAACCACATTTCCCATAAACCCTCTCCGCTAAATCTCTACATCTCTAAATCTCTACATCTCTGGAGCATGTTGGACGTAATCATAAATTATATATCCCAATTCCATAAAACATACTACAAGGGTGAAGTGAAGCATATACTAGCTTTTTCCTGAACTTTTCAACTTTTATCATACATTCACCAGAGTTTGAGTTTGACACTTAAGGTGACTCAGAAATATTATATATATTTTTTTTCTTGTTCCAACAGTGATGTGTGATCTTCACTGTAAGGAATGATGTATGTGCAGAGTTTGTCCTTCTCCAGTATGCAACTTATGTGTGATGTGAGAATGGACTTAACAGTGAAGGAGGAGACATCTTGTGTCCAGAAGGACATAGATTCAGTAAGGATTGCCTTTTTAAGGATGTGGTTATTATACTTTATGTTATGTTATATTTATGTTATTTAGAATAACATCAGACAAACATTATTGTTCTGAGCACTATATGTCGTAATACATGTCTGGAGGGGATCTTTAACTTACTCAAAACCTACTTAAAATGAATGGACTTGGGACACAGCTAAGATTTCAAAGCAGTGGAAGAACAGCATTCTCATCCTGTTTAATATTGTAAAGCTGATCTTATCATATTTTACAGCAACGGGTTTCTTGGTGGAATCTAATCCCTTTGCACACAGTTTAAAGTGCAATGCAAATGAACGAAAATAATCTCTACAGTAGGTAGAGGTAGTGCATGGACATTCCAGCGGTCCCTTTGTCATCTCACCACTGCTGTTAGAAGTCGCCAACCTCCTGATGATCATAGTGTTTGTTCATGGTTTGAACAGAAAACTAACATGCAACACAGCACCTTTAAAACTCAAAAAAGATGTTGTGTTACAGTATGAGCATGCTTTTGGGAAGCTCAGCCTCAGGGAATGGCTAAATAAGGGTAAGATTATTAGCATCATTCATTTAAAATTTGTCAAGTTACAAGACTGGCACAGAATAAAAGTAGAAGTATTCCTTTATACAACTACTCCAATGTGGGTCCAGTAAAAGTATATAAATCTAGCCCAAATCGATTCTGATGCCAAAATTATGGGCAGTTATCAATACATACTGTAAGTGTCTGCTATAAAAAGGGTCTTTTGGACTTGATTTTGATTTGGGGTCTTTTATTAGCTCTCCGTTTCCTCTTCTTCCTGTGTGCTTGCTGGCCTGACTTTACCTTCATTCAAATGTGCTGACTGACATAACTAATTGCCTAAATGTCAGTCATGTCCTGTCTGCTCTAACCTGCTTTCCTTTGTTGCAACTGCTGCATCTCGATAACCTCTGTCACCTGGCGATATCACATAAGTTGGGTGTGGGCAGCGTGTGGTGTATGGAGAGCCAAAACACCCGTGGTGAAGGTGAAGGTCTCTCTACCCACCCACCCCTTTCTCCCTCCTCCCCTCCCTTACCGCCATCATAACTGGGCTAATACTGTGACACCACTGGGCACCAAACAGCCAAGGTGAAGAGGGTGGGAGATGGGAGGTGGGGCAAGGTGGGTGGGATGGTGGAGGAGGAGGAGGAGGAGGAGGAGGAGGGATGGAAAGACAGAGAGATAGAAAAAGACAGGCAGATAGACAGAGAGAGGCAGAGGGTGGAAGGATGACGATCAGCATGACGTGGTCCCACAGCCCGGAAAGAAAAGAAACAAACAAAAACAGGAAGCACGGACTGGACAGACTTCACTAAACTACAGAGCCGAGACATAGCAGAAAGGAGGGAAAACAGGAAGAAAAGAACCAAAACAATAAAGACCACTAGAGCGGCCTGATGGCATCTACTTAACAGACATCCAGCACACCAGACATAGCTACTGAAAGCAGAGCATGTTAACCGGAAAAGACAGAAACAGAGATAGACAGACAGATGCAGGAAGAGAAAGAGAGACTAGACAGAGAAAGTGAACAACAAGAATACAGAAAAGTGAAAGAGTGTGAGACGGAGAAAGGAAGAATCCTAACAGACCGGACAGAGAAATAGTGAGACAGAGTAACGAGAGTGAACGACAGACAGATTGAGAACGAGAAAGAAGACCAACAGACACATAGAGAGACATACAGAGAAAGAGAGTGAGCGGGAGCTAGAGAGATAGCTAGGCAAGCGAGGAGGGAGAAGGGGGGGGGGACACAGAGCGGGGCGTTTGTTTTGCGCGCTCCTCGGAGGAGGGTGAGGGAAAGGCAAAAGGGGGTGGGGGTGGGGGTGGGGCGGGATAGTTACTCGAGAGCTGAAGGTCCTCCTGCGATCATCTTTAAGCCCCTCCAACCTACACTGGAGCTAGTGGAGATAAAGCATCGAATCACAGGCATCAGTGCATCTGTCCCAGCAACCACAACACTACAGACAGACAGACAGACAGACAAGACAGACAGACGGACGGACGGACAGACGGACGAAAGGACAGACAGACAGGCATCCACTACGACAAGCAACCCTATAGCAGGAGGAGGGAGAGGAGCAGCAAGGAGAGAACTGAGATAGGTAGAAAGAAAGAGAAAAAGTTAGAAAAGAAAAGCATAGCGGGCTTTTTAGGTGGCGTAATGCACCCTGTGGCGGCCATACTGGAGGCAGCACTGAAGATGAACTACACAACTTAACCCTCTAAAAAAATTCTGTTGCAGAGGTTAATTTCTGTGGCGGTTCTGACTTAGAAGTAAAAACCAACGATAAGTGTAATTTTGGATTGAAATGACGATTACTATGTGATCATCTGGTCACTTTTAAACAATAAGGCAGGTGACATTCTATATTTTTCTTGTAGTCAACACATCCCATGAACACCAATAGTGAATTTATGCTACTAACTTGCCTCTGTAGCCAGAGATACAGATTATTCATCTGTGCACAAAGCTCCATTGTTTTAAACTGTAAAAAACACATTAGTGAGCCACACTGTTGCACTGGGAGACATGTTCCTTTAGTACCATGAACACAGTGTATTCAAAATCAATCCTACATACACCATCCTGCTGCTGTAAGTAAATGTGTATTAATCCACAGCTGAAAGTAGTCCCTAACAAATAATATTTTAACTATTTAACTTGGTTAAATAGATGTTTTAAAAAAAACCTACAGTTCCCTCATGTTTCAGGGACACTAATTAGCCTTTTTTATAAACTGAACTTTCATATTTGTGATCCAGTTTTAAAGATTTATGGAGTCTGTAGGAAATAATGGAGTTCAGAACTCAGAGAGTATTAAAGATTTGCTGACAACAAGAAAAAACACAGACCCTATTGGTTTAACTCCAAATCTGACATCATTTTGATTAAGTTGTTTATAATACGTATATTTCCATTTAACATGATATTGAGCACAGCCCACCCACCTAACTGATGATACCTCCTCCGTTAAAACACAAAGGTTTCCTCCACTATTACTGGTATTAGCAATAATTAACTGCAACCGTTACTTTCAACCTGCAAATGCTAATTATAAACTGTGTGTATTGCATGGGTTGTCAAGTTGACGGACTGAAAAAATACACTTTACAGTCCGGGTAAATTAAATATCTAACTTTTTGTTTTGAAATGTAGCATCTAGTAGTTGTATAATAACAGTGACATTGTTTGCTTTAACACAAATGGGATGATGGATAACAAAGGTAGCTGTTTGTTGAAGTTCACTGAGAGCGTATTCTTCTCCAGCTACAACTCCTTTGCATTTGAGTACAGACAATATCCAGAAGAACTAAAGACACGACAGTGTACTGTCTCACAGTAAATTTGAAAACAAATCTACCGTTTCAGACTGATCTCAATAAACCACATGTGCAGCAGGTATGTGCATGTGTATGAGTATGGTACTGATTTTAAAATCTGCTATCTATTCTTTTAGCTTACTTGTTATTTCTGACATTTTTTTTGTATACAACCTATTTTCCAGTGGACCTCCATGATGGCGCCAGCTGTGGTTGCTAGGAGATTTGTGCCACAACTGCACAGCCCTCATATAGAAAGAGGGAGAAGTGTGATGGGAAAAAAAGACAGAAAAAAGACAAAGGTGGGGATTAAGGGAGCTAAATACAGCTACAGCAAGACACAGATCATACTTGCAGACATATAAAAGCACATGTGAAAACTAACGATCGACAGCTAGGACATTTTTCGTACAACGTGTGCCTTGCTAAAAAAGAACTGCAAAAGACATCTCAAATAAAAATAATTACACGATTAACGCAGAACAATTACATCAGAATCTCACTACCTAGCTAGTCTCTTTAAACACACAGACAAACCACAAGAATCACAAGTTTTCTACGTCCTAATCCAGTTTCACATACGCCTTCATAGTCATGTATCATTAATCTGTCCTGCAGCTGGGGTTAATGCAGAATATATACAGTCACCGTTAACTAAGAAACAGCTAGAAACCTTGATGCAGTGTGAAGTGATGACACTAAGACTGACACAAGGTGGAAAACAAGACCTCAGTATGGCAAAAAATAGCTAAGTAGAAAAGATCATACCATCAGAGAGCCATGGGAAGGGTGGGTGGGGGTTGGGGGGGACACTTTGCATATGGAGATGCACACAGTGGAGAAGCTACATGGGAAAGTGGAGTTGGGGGGGGGTGAGTTAGGAAGTGAAGAGAATATGTGGAGAATGAGTGCAGAAGCAGAATGTGGTGTTGGACATATAGGGGGGAGGAAGGCAAAAAAAAGCAGACTGTCAAACACTCTCACACTCATTTCTAATCTACCCTCCACTGCAATTCCCCCCCGTTACTGGTGAGAGACGAACCCAAGTGAGAGAAGAGAATGAGCTCATATGAGGGATGCAAATGTTAACATGCACACCTCATACACACAAAGAAAACAGATTTAACAGTTTGGAAACTCCCTTAGTAAGCAAAAATAGATGAAATATAATAAAAAATAAAGCCACTGAAAGCCGTTGTGTGCATCTGAGGATTTGGGCCTGACACCTTCACTCGTCTTAATGACACGTTGCAGTATGCTGGGAATACAGACACACACACAAAAAAAACAGTGGCCTCCATGCCAGAAACACTAATCACTCTACACGCCAACCCCATCGTCGCCACGGAAACAGCCTGACGATGGGTTGTCATGGAGATCTGCCAGGGAGATCAATGGTCCCGGGGAAGCACAGAATAGTGAGCGTGGCCAGGTCAGCAAGACACGTGGCTGACACGTGGGGCTGGGGGCTGTGAGCTGCCTGGGGGTGGGGTGGGGGGAATCGATGGGGGCCAGTAACCAGCCGGCTCAAGAGACACTCCAGGAAATGATGGGCTGCAACCGCTGTGATGCTGAGCTCAGCACAAAACAAAGGAGCTGTCAGACAAATTATGCAAAATGGGGGAGATTTATCCGTCCACCGTGAGGAGGAGAGGGCTGTGACAGGGCAGGGAGGCTCGTTTCAACTGGCTTCAACCGCCTCGCCCCACAGGACGGGGCAAGACAGGGAGAGGGATGGAGCAGAGGACAAAATGCAGGCGTGATAGCGACAGAGTGGTAAAGGGCAGGACAAAACGCTACTGTGGCAATCCAGAGCCAAGTCCTCCTCTCTGGGGAGTGGAGGCAAGAGCCTGAGGGGGGGAAACAACAGCGCAAAGCAGCTGCGAGGAAGCATGTTTCAGTGAAGGCCTCTGCTCTCCACTGACGGCAGAACACCCTTGGGTTTCTCTTGGGCTTCCCAGTTGCTGCCCCGTGGATCATCTGTTAACCCAGATACACACTCTTGCTCAAATTCAGACCAGGTACATACACATCGATAATCTCGCACACTCTGCAAAAACAAAACACTACAACATCACCAGCCACTGATAAACAAACCACATAAAAAGACCAGATGGGTGATGAATGAGAGAGAATGAGTGCTGGTGGAGATAGAGAGAGAGAGAGAGAGGCAATGGGGAGGAATGTTGCTGACCACTAAAGGTGATGATACACGGGGCAACTTAGAGCAACTCTGAAGGGCAACACTCTCCAACTCAATTGTCTTTGTTTTCTCGCCCACTACGTTGCCATGTGTATCACCACACTAAATCGAAGACGTATCTCTGAATGACCTACACACTACACACCTCCCCCTGTAGAAATCTGTTATATGGGGAAGTGTAAAATGTGTGTTTGTGTTTGCAAAATCAACACTAAGACTTCCTTTACACCTGAATTTAACATGCAATCTGTATCTGGATACATTGTCTGGATAATAATATCAGGTCACTGGTTTTTGCATTTAGACCTGGTATCAATAAATCAATCAATATCTGCTTGTCTACATTTCTCGATATGCAAATTAGATAGGGGGACAAACACGGCATGTTCCAGGTCAATGGAAAAGAGGTTGCTGTATTGACTATGTATTTTTCCTTTTGAAGGGGTCACCTATAGCTTTATACAGCAGGAAGAGGCCAAGTTACGAGACCTTTAGAATTGTTGGGTACATTTTGGCCATAAAGCCTCTAAAAACTTTTTTCAGTTTTCAGATCACAAAAGCTGACTTCAGTTAGCATAAAAAAACACCCTAAAAGGTATTATCTATTAGGACTTTTAACACACAAAAAATGTGTCTTCATCAGGACTGTGCAGGACACAGTGATCGAAACTGCTGGCAACATAAATAAGGCAAATCTTTATGGGTGCTTGGAAGTACACATCACCTTTTTCCACCTCAAACCAGTGAGAAGAGTACTGACAATACACCAGAGATAGAAATGGGAAATAACGGCTCACAGAAGCTGATTGAGAAAATAAGTTTTCAAGCCAGACCACTTCCAAAAGTCTGTTCCATCTATTCCAATTGCAAAGCCTAAGATTTCCAGACACAGATCACACGTTAATACCATGTGTAAATGAGGTTATGGGGTCTACACCATCAATATCACACTGCTTTGATCTTCGCACTGTGACATCTTCACATTTCTGGATTTTAGCTTTTGTTTCTCTCCCACTACAGCTTATCACGCCACCATATACTTTGTATATCATCTTTTTTGTTCTTGGAGAATCAGCAAAGACAATAAACTAAAGTAAGACCAGGTATGTTAACCTGTTCAAGTGTTACATGCTACAACAAGGGGTTGCCCAGTGCGATCTAGTCTAATATGTTAAGTGTGCCTCTCTTCCTCAGCTGCCTCCCTGCCTGTGTACATGTGTGTTGGTGAAAGCCACTAGTGTGGTGAGGTGCTATGTGCGATGCCAGTGGCCTGCATGCCGGTAGATAAGAAGTTGGTAGAAGGTTAGCGGGTTTACCTGGTCCAAGGTAGAGTACCTTGACTTGAGCGTGATGACCTCATCCAGGTGAGCCCTGAATTCTCTCCGTGAGGCCTGGGGGAAGCCACAGGATAGTCACTCACCTTCATGCCACCCACGCTCTCACACAGGTGCAGGCAAACAGGCATGCACACCCACTCTGATCAACACAACATATCAGTTAGTGGTGCTTTTTAAAACAGTTGCTCACACAGTCTCCTTCTTTTTGCACACAAACCCACCAAAAAGCACTCACGCACACATGCCAGAACTAAGCCAGTACTAACCTGACACACATTCTGCAATCGGATCAAAGGAAATTTGAAAATAAAAAGATGTGGCAAACAACTCACTAGAAAACACTAACCACCAATAACACAAGAAAACCAAAGATGAATGAAGAACAGAACCAGTTCAGTGGATTTGACAAAAGTTCAAGTAGAGTGCTGCTACTGTGGACACATCCCTCTTTTAGTGTGTGTGTGCAAGTTGGAATTTAAGAAGTGAACCAGAAGTGAGTGCTTGAACTCTGGCCAGACCCAAGGCCTCTGTCTGATAACACATGACCAGCTGGGAGGGGGGATGCAGATTACAAGAGATGGCACTACAGTAATCCAGTTACAGTGACCTGTTCGGTATTGAACTTTAAATCCCACTGCTAAGAACACAGTAATTGGATTACAAATACTTATAAAAGAGGAAATACTAGGACTTTCATTTGCCATATTTTTGCCCCTATGAATTAGAGCTAGAATGAGGTAAATAAAACAAAGCACTGAAAAAACAGCCCTACCAATACATTTTTAGGCCAATGCTGATATCAATGTTAAGAAAACACTATGTGCTGAATGGCACATTTTACACGTGAAAAATCATCATGTCACAAACTTACCAGTACGTATTAAATAATAAACATCACTGGAAATGAAGGAAATATCAACAATACTCAAATTCCATAAAAATATACTAAAGATAAAAACATAAGGCTGAAAATATACAAAGCCTATAAACCTTATAAGAAATCTGAACTATAATACATTTAATTGAACTATATTGAACTGGCACATCAAATATTAAATTAATTTCTGAATAACCTTAAATATACTGTACAGTTTATTTGGCATTTCTGTACTGAATTTTCTTGTTACTTATGACTGACAGTATATATTGTATAAATAAAATATTGGCCTGGCTGAAGTATTGGTCAGGCTCTGAAACATATTACAAGTAATGCGATTACAGTAATCCAGTTACAGTAATATAATCTGTTTATGAACACAGGACAGTAATTGCATTACAATTACTTTTAGGAAAAGAGATTATTTTTTTATTTTCTATTTAGAGGAAGGTAGATAAATTATCTCAAAACACGGTTGATTGAAATAAAATGAAACGGAACATTACCTCCCACTACCTTTGAGATGGACATTATGTTTTTAAGTCCACTTCCAGAACTCTTTTCCAGATTTCATTACTGCGCAATTACAGGGAATCAATGAATTCCGATATCACATTGGACAAGTGTCAGCACTCTTCCACGCCCTTGCACGGAGGCCATGTCTTTATCACTTACAGATCGGAGTCATTGGGCCATGACCAGTGTAACAAGCACTAGAGAGCTGCAAAGGCTTACAGCACATTTACCCGGCCTTTTTAACTGTTACAAAGCTGCTGTGTGTGTGAGTGTTACGGGAACTGAGGTGTGTACACAGAGGGAGAGAAACGCACTTTGTTTGGGCAAGCAATATCACTTTCATTCAAATACATAATTCAAGCATCTTTCAACTTCAGTTCTGAGGTTGAAACGCAGTTGAGGAATATGCCAAGTGATGGAGGTTTGTTTCTTTGGAGGGTGTGTGTGAGTGTGGAAACAAGGCAAGGGTTAGATACAGTACGTGTACCAGAATGAGGGCAACAGGACATTTTACTACAAGACAAAATCAGAGGAAAAACATAACAAGACTACATCCACACACAAAAAAACAAACAGAGCAGGAACAGAAAGGATTGTGGGTAGAGTGTAGAAAACCACAGAGAGACAGCAGGAGGGCAGCAGGCAGGACAGCACGCAATACAAGGGAAATATAGGAAGTTTGGTGGTTAGGGAGGCGGTCATGCCGGGCAGGTAAGTGCGTTTGGAGAGGGAGGGAGCAGAAACCGGTGGCATGATGGCGGCCGTAACGATGCATTAGAACCCATGCAGGAGTACCTCAGCAATGCTTAGGGTGGATGAACAGGAGGGGAGCCGCGCCTGGTGCCGCGAGAGAGAGAGAGAGGAGGGGAGAAGAGAAGAGGGTTAACAGAGCCAAAGCCGGGTTGAGCAGGGGGACAGAGGCACACAGAGACTGACGGGTGAAGCAGACAGCGCCCTCTGTCTTTCAGGAGGACATCTGCGTGACAGGTCTCTGTGTGACTGTCTCGGATGGGCCAAGGCAGCCAAGGGCATGACGGACAGGACAGGACAGGATAGGACAGGACAGGTCAGGACAGCAGGTAGGAGTTGCATGGGGATCCACCGCCCCGTCAGAACAATAGGAGAACAGGTTTCACAGGAAACATCACACATTTTGAACACGGTGTCAAATGCAGCTTGAATTTACATATATCAGCTTGTTTGCCAAGTGAGTCTGTTATAGTCATGTGACTAAACAGAATCCATATGTCCTCTGTTTAAACCTGAACATCAAAGCTTTTACTGTTCTGGGAAGACAGTTATAGAAAATCAGCCCAGCTTATAATGGGAGGAGTATCTTCCTGCTGAGTCCTTTCACCAATATCTGCAATGCCCCTTTACTATCCCATTCTTGTGTATGTACTCATCTTAATCCAGGATGTAAGTGCTTCTTGTAAACTCAAACGTCTGAGTCTCGGAAGACATATGTACCAAGCATAAGATGCTCTCTTGGTCGCACACAATGAAGTGAAGCTATAACCAGACTCATCCCTTTTGGTTTGTGTTGTGTGTGTTTGAAAAAAGACAGCACAGAGATATTTGTGCTTAAAGTCCCAATCTGATGTATTAACGTAACAATTTCTTGCAAGTATTTATTTCTGTTTTCTTCTGACCTGACATGCTTTCAAGTAACACCTCCAAAATCAACTGCAAGTTTTCCAATAGTATCTTCATTGACAGCAAAAAATCAAAAACATCTAATGGTTTTGAAGGTCACACAAATCCAGATCAATTCTGATAAAGAATGCAAACCTCACAGTGTCAATCATTGATCTTAAAATCACTTCTTCACATCCTGTTGCACACAGTAGACGCCTAACACGACATGCAAACCAGAAATAACATGGGAAATAAAATGAGCCAGGAAATTGCAATGTAATTTATTTCTAGCACCCCAAAAGTATCACCTATTATTGCTCCAATGGGGTCCAAGGGTTGGAGCATTTTCTTTCATGCGCTTAGAGGCCACTTTTAATAACAAAGCCTCCACCAAAAGGCACATGAAGACTTTTATTACCTCCACTAATGAGGTTATAAAGAGGTAATGTTTCGGCCTCTCTTTAGGAAGTTAGCCACAGATTTCCCTCAATTCTGACGGACAGATATCTGTTAATCAGATTTTAGAGGTGATCATGATCTATAGCCATAATTAGTGGAGAGGGAGTCATTCACAATGTCCATGACAGCGGCTGTACAGCATTTCATTCATGTGGTATTTTGTCAAAATATCAGAATCGAAAACACAACACAAACATGGCCATCTGCGTTGGCAGAGGCGTTTGCTGGTCCAAGAGCCTTCCAACTCAAAAATTATAAATCACTGGGAAATCCATTTAAAAATATCTCATCTATTCCTGGCAAAATAATGGCCAGCATGAAAGCCAAGCTCACTATGAATTATTACTAAAGTCATTAGATAATTCCCGACCTTTCCTCATGAAACAGTAACATTTTAGATTATATAATAAATTGCCTTTTTAAAGTGGGGCTGTCAAGGAGATGAGCATCCCATCCCTCCTAATTGAAATGCGGTAGATTCACAGTAGTTGCCCTCATCAAACTCACTGCTCAGATAATGGACACTGGCAGGAAACCGCAGGAGGTTACAAATTGAAACTCAGGAGTGAACTACACCAAGATCTCCTAAATACTGTAGCAGCAAGGTAGCACTCTGTTTAGAGAAAGCTCAGTTCACCAACATCGGATGAACCTTTTGGTCCTATGTAGTCTCACCACACACTCAGAAGATATTTAGTTTATTGTTTTTCAAATTATACTGATGTCAAGTGGTGTATGACACAGTTTTTCTTATATTACCACTAGCTCGGGGTATGAAGGTTTGAAATTTTACACATAGTGACCTTTTAATGCAAAATCTGGAATAAGAATATTCTGGTAATCCTGCCGCTACTTGACCAGATCAAAAGCAAACTTCATATCACAAAATGTTGCATCTTGTTAGGTCCAGGCCAACATTAATTCCAGAGTCTGGTCAGAAGAAAATATCCAGGAAATTGAACGAAGAACTAAACAAATCATGTTTCACACAACTGTAGAAAACAAACTGATCACAAAACAATTTGATCGGTTCTCGATTACCTCACTGACGTCACTCTGTTCCTCTACACTAAAGCCATTAAAGGTGCCCTGTGGATTTTTCTTGAAAACAAAGTTTCTGTTTACATTCAATGTCTCTCACCAAGACACATTGTTGGTATCCTTGAGGTCTAACAAATGTGTTAAATACATTTATTTCCTCATGAAACATTAGCAAAATGTTTAAATCCTATATTGTTTACTGGTTTGCAGTCTTCTTCTTTAGTAACTTTCTTGGCGGCTTACCGCCACCTATAGCTAAGTGTGATTGTGTGAAACCTTTGGCGGGAATGTGTATCACATTACTAGTGGCCAAAAGCACCACAGGGCACCATTAAGATGGATTCTGAACACACCACTGCCATCTATATTTGAGAATCGAGGGGCTGTTAAAGGAAAATCATTTTTAACTTCAGGAGTAGATTCTTATAATCATGGCCATTCTGACTAGCAGAACTAAATCTGTATTTGTCATCTCCACTAAGGAGATTCAGATAACGCAGACTCACACATGTACACAAGTCAAGTAGATCCCTCTGCAGTTAGCTAATCTAATTTTTGCTACTTCGGGTGAGACTTATATAGACGAGAATTTCAAATAATTCCTATAAAACAGGGCTTGAGCTGCCGATATGCTGTATGTTGTTTTTCTGAGTTTGTATTTTCAAAATCTCCCCTCAGATCTCAGGAGTTGAGCGATAAGTTATCATGACCCACAGTCAGAATGGCCACATTTGTGAAAATAAGACCAACAATTATGAGAAGTAGACCAGAAATGTCCTTAAATATTACATTCTGTCTACCTACAGTGCCCAGCTCTCTTACGTCTTTTGACATGCAAAACCACTATGTAACACACTCACAGTCTGAATATCTGTTATTAGATTACACATTCTTCATATCCAAACTGAATTATAGATTCAGTTTGATCAGCGTAAACATCGTTTGAATTATATCACACACTCTGACTGTGCAGGATTCTGATGAGTTACTGTCTTTACTTGTCAAATTAAACTTGTGTGCTGTCAGTGCTTTAAACTGATTTGAAGTTTTATGCTTGCGTTTTCAAAACAGCAAGTTATTGGAAAAGAAAACTCGCTCTCCAACGGCTCCCCTCTGAATAAATAAAGATAAGAAAGAATCCACAGTGGAAAAGCTAAACAACCAGTAACCACAGCTGACCAGAAGCATGTGCTATGTGCTCTCATCCAGCCCTTTGTCATTCATCGCTGCCCTCCGATGGCCTTCTCCATGTCTACATGTATTAAAAATTAATGAGCTATTGAGTGAGTTGCCAGCATGGCAGAGAGTGAGAGCTAACACAGCTGACTTGACAGGCCTGTGTTATGCTTCTCACCAGTTCCCCCTCCCTGCTTCTCATCAGCAGCCCACATGGTGAATGAGCACGCTCAGTACAGCTGGTCAGACAGTCTCATCCATTTCTTCTTACTGCCTTTCATTTCCTGTCTGTCTTCTCGCCCTCCGCTCTGTCTGACTGTTCGTCTTTCTCTCTTTCTGTCTCGCTGTTCAATGCTCTCTTGCACTCTATCCATTCTTTCTCTCCATCGGCCTCGAGGCAAACTCTCAGAGTCAGTGGGTGTGAGTAACTCGAGACAAATATAATATCTCAGACAATGCGTGCAAACTTCACACATACAGATGCATGTTCACAATGCATGTGTGTTGACGTAAACACACTCTTTGACTTTGATATATAAACTGTACTTGCAGATATTTACAGTATTTATCTTAATAACAAAAAAATACATAAATACAAATAGTACATGTGCTCTATACACACATGAACAAGCTCACTGGCCTCAGCTGAAGTGATTCTGACTTAAAGCCTTAAGCAATTTGACCCAAATGGTCTATGGGTGCTATGAGCCAAATAAAGCAAGGGAGGGGGTCGAATGTGTGTACATTAATCAGGGACAAAAGAGCACTTTCATTCTGGCCGTAGCTATTTCCATCTGGTCTCCGCAACAATATATCACACATATTATAATACATCCTGTGTCCTATATGACTCAGTTATCTCTGCCATCCCTCTGCACCTGATATTTTACAGGGTTGGCTCATTCTTCACAGCTAAACTCATATCAAGCTGCCTTTTCCATCCAGTTATTGAAAGCTGTTGTCTCTCTTGTTAACAGAGAGGAGGATATAGCTTGACACGCGTGTTTCTATTTCCCCCTAGGCCACGTAAAGACTGGACTAAGCAGATTTTCAAAAAGGGGAAAAGAGTGGCACGTTGCAGAAACCTCTTTATGAAGTCATTCTATGTTGAGATTTAAAGTCTTATCTTATTAAAACAAGGTAAAAAAAAAAAATCATTCAGTGCAGTAAGAATATTATGTCTCCAATAAGTCAGCTTGCTTCATGTATTTCCTAAAACCAATACAATAAATTACAGTGCAGTATAGTTTCTAGTTCTAGTTTCAACATATAGACACTTCTAGAAAATTCACAAAACTGATTTCAACTGGACACAAGTTGAAATATAATTTTTTTTAATTAAATATTAATTAATTTAATTAAATATTTAATTAAGAGGAATAGTTAGACACATTTGCTTATTTGAGTGAGATGAGAGGAAGTTACCGCTAGCAGCCACCAGGTTTAGCTTAGCACAAAGACTGGAAAAGAAGGTGGAAACAGCTAGCCTGGCTCTGTCCAAAGGTAGAAAAATCTACCTAAAA